TAGAGATCCCCCACTCAGAACGTGGGCATAGTGGGAACGCCAACGTGGGACACGTGGCACCACATCCGCCCAGCGGTTATCCGACCCCTAATGTCTATAAATACCTTCGGACGCAGCACAGGTAAAGGGTTCTCTCTTTCGATCTATCTTTTTCATCCTTAAAATTCCAATCACATTTTTCAAGCCTATAAACTAATTCTCACACCGGAGGTAAAACGGGGGAGGAAGCCCCGCCTTCATTTTTTAGGTCATATATATCGGACGGAGTAGACGAAACGCCCAGCACAATCAGGCAAATAGGAAGGTGTTGATCCACCACAATTTCAGAATCCATTTTTGAAATTACGAACTTGATAAAAGGAAAAAGACTAAACAAGTCTCCAAATTTGAACTTCAAAAAATGTGCATTATATTCCATATTATTACCACGAGTTTCCTCTTTCCAAACTATGATTCTTCTGTGTTTATTCAATTGATCTCTGTATGAAAAATGTTTAACTATTACTAGTTTCAAACAAATAAAATGCCATATCAAAAATTTGTACCTTTAGAAGTTGAAAAGGTTCCTGTCTCTGAATATGAAAACTTTTAACTTTATCATGATCTACCAAGTCAAGATCTCGATGCTGTTTGATATCTTCATCAATTGCTACCTGGGAATGTTTATCGTATAATTCTTAGGTGAAGAAAGCCCAATTGTGATTGGCAATACAACGTGCTCTTCATTGAAAGGAAGAATGAAAAGACGAACCTTCACAGTCAGATATTCTTCGTCTTTTTTATTTTGCTCCTTTTGTCCATCGTCACTCCGAAGGCTTTCCTGGGAAAGGCACTCAATGTAGTTAAGAGCAGATTAATGAATCCTATCTGGAACATACTATCATAAGGTAAACCTACATTGCACATTATTTTCTCCTTCTCACTTTCACGTATGTATACCAGCATGTAAGCATTTGAGCACTTTTGATAATCATTGAGACCAGAGTTTGTCTGCAGCAACTGCTAAAAAATGAAATATAAGCAATGGAAACATTAGGATCCACCTTGAACAAAAAGAACTGTGAACAGAGAAATACTTCTTTACTCCCGTACTGCTCCTCTAAAGCCTCTTTGGCATCTACTTTGGTCACTCGTTCATCGTCAAATTTATACCTGGAAGCCATTAGTATTTTACTAACCATGTTTATACAATCTCTGTATTTGCATATAGAAACTTCAAATGATTATAACTAAACTATAGGAGGACCTAATATACATAAAAATCTGACGCAGAAAAAGTCACCCCGTACGTGAAATGCTATTGCATAACAAATCATGCAGTATGGTTAATACAAAGAGAACTATTATGCATACTATATCAATTTATAAAATGTACAAGAACACAAAATATAAATGAAGTCTATAATTTCACCTAATATTGATGTACTTCAAGTTACAAAATGTTTCTTCTTTGATTCCAAATTCATAAAACTGGGAGCTGTACTCAATTCCACAATCTAACTGATAACAGAGAAAACATTCATGTGGAGGCCTAGTCCAACAATGGAGAAAAACTGGGAGTCATGCATATTTTGGGGACTGATACATTAGATGTTCTGCAATCAGAAATTTAATGATTTTCCATTTCTTCTTATATGAGGATTAGTAGCCTCATCTTTATATAGATCCAGGAAATGCTGCTAGATGGTGTCAAGTACTTCCTGTCATAATAAAATGTCTGTTTCACTATTTTCTCAAAAACTAATCTTCAGAACTCTATATGGATAGTGTAGAATGTATCATGCTAACACATGAAAACATGACTGCGAAGTAAATGGAGAACATTAAGGAAATAAATGTTTACCACTGATGAGAAAGATTTGGCCTTATAAAAGCACTATAGTGCCCACCATGCACGCCACCACTATGGACTAAAACACTGTAATCAACCACATAATATGTCATGTAAAATGAAATGAGTAAACAAATTGGGAAGACTTTAGCGTCAAACAGAAAGTACCCGGCGGTAAAGATGAAGATATGAACAGCACATTGATAATGATTGTCCATAGAATATAAAACATTTATCTTCCTAATCTAGTCCATACTAGAAGATATTTGCTTTCAACTGGAACAATAAAATGTGCAATTGAAGGCATCAAATTTAAATTTTGTATGGACTATGCATAGACTAAATCCCTAATAAGTGTCATTCTCAATTGTCAAGCCACATGGAAGCAAGGGGGTGGCAATTGGCCCCACAACATTTTTGGACTTGCTATGTGCAAAAACAGAGATTGTGAATGGTTAACGTCTATTCTCAACTGCTGCTAGAAATTTTTATTACACTTACATAATACATACGTATTCCCCCCATTCTCCGGCATGAAAATCCTACGTCTTACAACCTATTAAAGAACAATCCGACACTTCCAACAAAGAAGTATATAATGTCATTCAGCATAAATGATTCCTCCATGTTATGCAGGTACGAACATGCAAAGTTTTAACCCGACCTCCCCTGAGCAAAGTTTTTAAATTTCTGCAGCTTTATTAAAAAGTAGACGGTAGATTCGAGTAGCTGTAGCCCATAGACACAAAGTTTGGACAAAATGTTGTAATATGGATTTTGAAGTCACAACTTAAACATATAACTATGTTTCCTCTTATATAAGCTTTTAGATGAGGAAGTTCAAGCAAAAGACCTGAGGGTTCGAGTAACATGACGGGTCATTGAGGAAAAAAAAGATCCAGCCCGCAAGTGGTGGTGGGATATGTTGAAGACAAAATTTTAATACATAATTGTGCTCTTCTCCAACAGTTTAAACTTTAGATGTGGAGGTTCAACATGAAATATATTTCAACCACTGATTAAAACTTAAATTATTTCTACATTGGTTATTAGAAGTACAAAACCAAAGTGCAGAGATAGTGATGGAGGCAGTTATTTCATATCCTTTTCATATTTGAAAATCTAGACATTAAAGAAATAGAAATTCATGATCATAAGAACATTATTACCTGTGAAGAGTGTAAAGGTTTTTATCACCTCTTCCAGCCTCTGGCAAAAGGTATTTGCCACCCTCTATATCCAGATCAAGTTCCAGAGGAAACTCAAAATAGTCGTTTAACTGCTTTAATGAGAATGTGAGAATCTTCTTTTTTAACAAGAGAATAACATCATTTTGAAGAGTATCAACAATATAATCACAGCTTAGCGACCAATTCATCTAAAATCCTTGCACTTGGAACCTACTATATGATGTCAAATTTTGGCAGCTACAAAAGTAGATGAAAGAATACAAGGTCAAAAGAGACCAGGACACAGCATCAGAATGATTGAGTAAAGAAACAGCACAATGGAGAATTCACTAGACATTCCTAATGAACAAAAGTACATTCCCTACTCGGGATATAACATTCCAAAATACATGGATCATATAGCAAAACCCAAATGTAATAGGAATAAGGCTTAGTTGTTCTTGTCGTTGAGAATGTGGTCATTTGTGGTAATCTTGTTTTACCAAACTTATAAGAATGATACAAATGAAAGTATTAAAGTAACATGTAAATGACACCCACTGTTAGAAATCTACAAGAAGGTATTAAGAGTTTTTTTATTCTTTTTCTCAAGAGTTATCCAAAACTAACTTATTAAGTGCACGTTTGGGAGCATTTTCAATTTTTGTTACCATTTTTCTACTATTTCTTTATTTTTTTCATAATGATGTTGAAAATAGAATTTAGAAATTCCCATATGTCAGAAATATATCAGAAAAAGAGAGTTTGCTCGAATATCAAATTCTGGAAAGTATATTTCACTTGGATCAGCTAATTGTCCACAAATCATTTCGGGTTCTCAATTTTCTAGTGACGTGAGTTTAATGGACATGCTTCATGCATTGTTCTTTTTCTTTCATTGTTTTTCACTCGGCCAGCCATGTGTTCAACTTGTATACGAAAGATGCTCTTAGTAATCCCTCTTCATGCAATGTAAGAAAGAAAGGTAAAATGAAGCACCATTCAGATGAAAATGATTCGAGAAGGGGAAAAAAATAAATAAAGAAGCCTTGCATTCTGACCTTGACCATAGTGTCCCGTATAAAATCATATTCAAATCGCTTCAGGTGAATCGGAAGAATTGGGGGCAAGTCAATGAACAAGAGGCCCTTCTTAGCATCCTAAAACAATCAGCATAGTTTTCATCAATAAAGTTAAATGTCTGAAAATATGTGAATGGCAACTGCCAAAACAATAGTGCTTTCAGGCTTATACATCCACACAATCTCCTGACAAAATCATGCTCAACTCAGGTCTAATGACGTTAGATCCCCCTATAACCTTCCAAAGACAGGTTTTTTAGATCAGATTCTGAGTAGCTTAAACTATGTCAGCCTCATTTTTAGTCAAAGAAATAAGAGGAGCGATACACCTTGCAAAAAGAAGGTCCTACAAACCTGCAAGCCATATGATCCAGCATGATATTTATTATCACCCTTAAGACATTCCTTTTCAACATACTTATCTAAGGCGGCATAAACATCACGACAACCCTTGACATCAAGCTGAAGATCTGCCACAAATTGTTAGCGATCAGTTTAATGTTGTGCATAATAATATTGGCGGTAGTTGACAATATTATGATCGCATCTAATTTCTACAATACCATAAAATAATCCCCGCCTGGTAGATTTATAGTTCACATTGATGCATTCGATGAAGTCCACATGGTGCCCCTCAAATAACTTCTAAAGAATACGATAACAATAGAAGATGAGAAATAATGTCCACAATTCCCCGTAAAATAGAAAGAATAATTGCTGAACATTGCCTGGAAAGAATAATTGCTGAATATTGCCTTACCTTCATTTTCTCTTCCAGTTTTTCAAATAAAGTTCTAAAAAATTCTTTGACATCATGTTGTGGAAAAGAGTTATATGTAATCCATCCAAATGCTTCCATAAACTCCTTTGACGTAACAGTGTTGTCACTGGACTGGAGCTCACTAAATAAATTCTGCAGGGCCAGAGGGATGCTCCCAGATGGCATGTCATTCTCAGTGATGGGAGTGTGACATACAGCCTAAAACCCAAAAATAATATTTTAATCCATATAAAACGTCTCTGTAAACTGTACCAGACAGATAGACAGAAGGCGGGAGTAAAGACACGTTTTATAAATTAAAATTTTTTAAAAGAAAAAAGGCGACCTTCCTGAAGTAGGGAAGATGATACAAAGTTTGTATGAGAGAGTTCAGATAGCAACTTGCTCCTTGATTATTGAGTCCAACAAAACCGGTTTCCTTTTTCGAGTCATACAACGGATGACTCACAGTTACACGAACAGAAACATTGGCTTCAATTATACATGTATCATTGACAAGAAAGCGTCTGTTTGGATCATGCAGTTCAGATAAAGGCATTAAACTTGTGAAACCCCAATCACTTTCTCGGGCATTGAAATCATGTTGAGTATCTGCATCGTGGAAGGAATACATATCCATGAAATTTATGAAACAACAGATGCAAACTATTTGAGTTCTCTTGTGAATCTTGATATGATGTTAAAATCCAGTTTGAATGGTAGTACTAACCTTTTCTGATCGTGTACCTAGTGTGAATTTGACTAATTACAGAAATACCGAACTGAGCATATCTACTCCACCCATACTCTAAACCAGCTGAATCTGGAACATCCAGATACACCGACAAACAGTCATTGCCGTTACCCTTTGGGAAAACAAGAATCCGCCTATGAAAAGAAAGCAAAAGTTAGTAAATACGAGACTCGTAATAGCAGCAATGAGTGTTCAGTGTAGTAGGAAAGATCAAACGTGCCATTGGTATCCTCCAACGACAAATGTTTCCGAATATTTCTTCTTCACATTTAGCGTAGAGAAATTCTCAATTCGCCAAGTAAATGTTGAAGTCTGAAGTTCCTCCACGGATTCATTTCCCCCTGGATTACTGCTTCCTGCATTACAACATCTACTAAGTAAATCTCAGAAGAATTATAAAACTGAAATTCAAAAAACAAATTGTCACATTCTGAGAAAGCAAAATCAGATATACACAAAGAAACCAAAGGAGACCGCATCAAATTTAAAAAAAATAAAAATAAAAATATGCACTCGTTCATTTTATAGCATCATGCAGATTATGATAATACAAGGATTAACAGGAAAACTTTATTAAAACTTTTTAAAAATTCAAAAAAGCAGACAATAAATTAATTAATTACCTTCCATGGATTGACAACCTCTAACCAAATGAACCCACTCACAGAAACAAAGTGAATAATATACCAGAAACCAAAATTCCAATACTCGTTTCCCGTATAAGGGGAAATAAAGTCAACGCTAATAAGGAATCTAACCATGAGTATTTATGTATAAAAATATATGTTCAGAGAGAGACACAATAATAAACTTCACCAATTACAATGTGAACAAGAAATTCGTTCTGCGTTTACAAGAAAGAGAGATTCCGAAAATTAATTGATTACCTTTTACGAACTTTTATTTTAAGAATCTTAACTCCATTCTGCCAGACGCAGCGTAAAATTATACAAATTGGATCCGTCGCAGCTTCAAGCTGATAAGGATTAAAAATTGCTGTTCGCATTTTGTATAAACCGAAAATTTTGTTGGAGAATATTTCGATTGCCCTCTTATATTCGAGTTGAAATTAAATTAAATGTGAGCTTAACTTACATCTTTTTTCAGTAACATTGACACAAAAGGACTGTTCACTGTTATTATGATCTCAAAGTTTATTTATATGAATTTTTAGGAGTTTGGAGCGCATACAAGCTCACAGTAATTATGTTGGACTGTCATCTATAATTGTGCGGAGCAAAGAAAAGTGTTTTTATGGGAGTTATGCAAAAGTCTCGAACAGAGAATTCCTCCATTCTCCACACAGACAAATTCCTTTTTGTTTCTGCACACAGTTTTCAGTTTCCATTTCTCTGACAAATTCTCAGTTCCCTAATGGTAGATGGTCGATTCAGAAACAGATTCAGTTCGCCGTTGCAGAAATCCGGTGTTCAATTTCTGTAGATTTTCTCGTTGTATTATGGAAGAAGACGCTTACAGAATCCTCAAGCAAGAGAGTGAATATGTTTAAAGGACACTGTGACACAGGCCTGGTTTTGCTGGTTTCTTCCCTTTCGTAATTCGAAATAGTTTACTGATTCGACATTCAATTTCTGTATGTTCGCTATTAAATCAAGTATGTCAGCAAGAAAATAAAGGAGCATTGATGCCAACTCAAAGCTTAGTGGAAATAGAAGTGAGACACAAATCCAGCTAGACTACAGATTCTAGATGAAGAAGTCTCTAGAAGAATTGCTGGGAATATATTGCTGCATAGCTGGAGTTTGTTTTCCAATTCTGTTATTTTTTGTACTGCTTATACCCACTTGTATAGAGTTAGTTAGAGTAGATTCCTTCCTCTCTATAAATAGCTAAGGCATTGTAGAGCATATTCACGAGAGAAATGAATGAATTCAAATTGATATTCTTCTCCATATTGCTTTCTTCAATTCATATTTTCTGATATGGTATCAGAGCCAACAATGGCTGATTTAGATGAATCCAATATTGCTCAAAATATTACTAATGCCACTCAAACCAGAAATACAAATTCTGATCCCTCACAACCAAATAGTCCTTTTTACATTGGTGCAAATGATAATTCTGGATCCTTGCTTGTTTCTCATGATCTGGACTCAAATAACTATCACTCTTGGGCAAGATCCATGAAGCGTGCGCTCCGAATCAAGAACAAACTTGGTTTTATTGATGGAAGCATTGCTGAACCCACTGCTGCAGACAGTCCCCTCATGGAACATTGGCTTCGATGTAATGATATAGTCATCACTTGGCTGCAAAACACCATGGCACCTGATATCAAATGCAGCACTCTATATGCTGATACAGCCCATCAACTATGGAAGGAACTCAAGTAAAGGTTTGCGCAGCAGAATGCACCAAGGGTCTTCGAGATCAAACAAAACATTGCCAATCTGGTGCAAAATCAGGATAGTGTGATTGTGTATTTTTCAAAACTGAAAACATTGCTAGATGAATTGATGAATTATGAATCTATCCCTAGTTGTTCTTGTGGAGGATTGAAAGAAGTAATAAATAACCAACAGAGAGATTGGGTTATGAAGTTCTTGATGGGGCTTAATGACTTTTACAAAAGCTTAAAGGCACAAATCCTTTTGATTAAACCCATTCCTAAGTTTGAATGAAGTGTATTCACTTATCCAACAAGAAGAAAAGAGGCAGCAGATCTCTTTTGACAACACACCTGATGATACTATGGCAATGTTGGCAAAAGGAAAATTTAATGCAGGTAAGTCATATCAGGGAAATCAGAGGAGGGAAAGGTATTACTGCAGTTTTTGTAAGATGCCTGGCCACTCCCTTGAAAGATGTCTCAAAGCCAACCCTAACAAACCATCATGTTCTCATTGTAAAATGCCCGGACACTCAGCAGACAGGTGCTACAAACTACATGGGTATCCTCTAGGACACAAGTTTGAAGGGAAAAGCAAACCTGCTGCATCTAATGTCAACCAAGTTTCCACTCTTATGCCTTTTAATCAGGAGCAAGTCAATGATAATCCACATCTTTCCTTGACACCAGAGCAATATTCTCAACTAATGGCACTATTTAAAACACAACATCATCCAGTCGCTACTAGCCATGCCCAAACAAGTGTTACCTCTGATGATGCTATACCAAAAATGTCTGGTATCTCTCTTGGTTTATCAGCATATAATAATAAATTCCATGACATTTCAACCATTCCTTGGATATTAGACACAGGGGCAACAGATCATATGATCTGTTCCATTTCCTTTTTTACTTCAAATCCAACACCTGTTTCATATTCAGGAACTTTACCTAATGGAGAAATGGTTTTAGTTAGTCACATTGGCACTGTTAGATTCACAGGTTCCATTATCCTTGAAAATGTGCTATATGTTCCTTCATTTTCTTTTAACCTTATTTCAGCCAGGAAGATGACTCAGAATTTGAATTGTTGCTTAATTTTTCTTTCTGAAACTTGTTTTCTCCAAGATCTTCTGACTTGGACAACGACTAGAATGGGTGAGGTAAAGTATGGACTGTATCATTTACTGCAAAAGAAAGTATCTCCCTCAACTTTGACAGACACTCGTGCTCCCACGACTGCTAAAACTCGTGTTGCTGCTTGCAAATGAATTTGACCTATGGCACTATAGATTAGGTCACTCATCATATCCTAACTTTCATTTACCTGATCATACCTCTAGTTCGAAATCTGTTACAGATAAGAAACCTTGTATAGTTTGCTCCTAGCAAAGTTACATAAAATTCCTTTCATTCCAAGTCAACAAAAGTCAAAGAAATGTTTTGATCTTGTGCATTGTGATTTATGGGGACCATGTAATGAAATTAGCTATGATGGTTCAAGGTATTTTCTGACCATCATTGATAATTATAGCCGATGTACTTGGGTTTCCCTTTTGAAACAAAAATTTGGGACCTCTAATGCTGTTCAAACTTTCTGCAACATGATTGAGACACAATCTGATACTAAAATCAAAATAATTCGCAGTGATAATGGTGCTGAATTTAATATGATAGAATTTTACTCAAAAAGGGGCATCATACATCAAAGATCCTGCGTGGAAACACCACAACAAAATTCCATCGTTGAAAGAAAGCACCAACACATTTTAAATGTTGCCAGAGCTCTTAGATTTCAAAGTGGAATTCCACTAAAGTATTGGACTAATTGTATCCTTACAGCCGTTTATCTTATAAATAGAACTCCCCCTTCTCTATTTAATCACAAAGCATCATTTGAATTGTTGTTTCAAACTCAACCTTCATACTCTCATCTTAGAGATCTTAGATGCTTGGCTTTTGCTACAACTCACCCTAGGGCACATCGATGTATCTTTCTTGGATACCCTTTCGGCATCAAAGGGTACAAACTCCTTGACTTAGAAACAAACAAGACTTTCATCTCTCGCAATGTTCTTTTCCATGAAAATATTTTTCCTTACAAGGAACCTCTCACCACTACATCAAATCCTCTCCCACACATCCCTCAACCTAACTTAGAAGTTGTAAATTCTAGCAACACATACATTAATGAGAACATAAATTCACTAGTACCTTTACCTTCTCATAATATTACAATGGAAAACCATGACTCAGAACCATCAATCCAAGAATTTCCCTCATTTGAGAATACTTCCCCATCAGCCATAGAATCGCAATGTGCACAAGAACCTCCTCATTTGTATAGATCCACAAGAATTAAAAGGCTACCTTCTCATTTGCAGGAATTTGTTTGTCAACAGGCAAGCTCACCTCCTCATTCCTAGGACTTGACCAAGCAGCAGGTCATACATTCTTCAGGTAAACCTTTTCCCTTAGAAGCTACTATCTCTTACCATAAACTTTCATCTCCACATAAAGCTTTTGTCCTTTCCATCACTGCACATACAGAGCCAAAATCCTTTGAAGAAGCCATACAATCACCAGAATGGAGTAGTGCCATGAAAGCAGAGATTAATGCTCCCATAAAACTCCTAGTGAATTAACTAGGTTCCATAGCTGCTAATACGGAAACAATCTCCAGGCGGGAAACTAGAGATCCCCCACTCAGAACGTGGGCATAGTGGGAACGCCAACGTGGGACACGTGGCACCACATCCGCCCAGCGGTTATCCGACCCCTAATGTCTATAAATACCTTCGGACGCAGCACAGGTAAAGGGTTCTCTCTTTCGATCTATCTTTTTCATCCTTAAAATTCCAATCACATTTTTC